AAAGAAGTGATCTACCACATAGTAAAACCGAAACGGCGGCCGCTCTGGTAAGCAGTGCGCGCTGCCATTCCGCAGGGCCTGGGTTCAAGCCCGGTTTCCGACCAACATCAAAAAATAAAAAAATAAACAAAACAAAAAAGTTGTTTCTAAATAATAGCGCACGCCCCTCGGCAGGCAATGCCAAATCTCCGAGTGTATTCTGCCATGAAAAACAGCTTCTCATAAATATACAATCGCCGTTCAGGGTCGGCGTAAAACTGTGACAATATCAAATCGCGCCCCACAAATCGGAGAAAAAGCTCGTCCAAACACTAACATATGTGTAAAAGCGCAGTTACCCACGGACGTAAAAACGGAGACCGTGTCAGCTGACACCCATCTATCTTATGGGATCTGCGTGTTACCAAAAACTCACCACCGCATGACCGTGACGTAGACGGTGCTTCTCTCTCTTTCTATCAACAGCAAACTCGATATGTTTCTACGTACTTCTACGCTACGCTACGTAAACGTTCGTAGGTAACTGCGCTCTAAGCGCCAATTTATTATTATTATTCTACGCAAGATCTATGGACGTGTTTGCGCGGGGGCGACGGGTACCGCAGAAGATACAGAAGTTGCATGCTAGCAACTGGCGAATCTAACATTGCGATGTCCTACGAAGTGTCAATTGCCCCCCGCTGCATTCCCTTTTCGATAGTTCTGAACCAGTCCTAAGTTCTATAATTCCGAACGAGTTCTAAAATCGACAGACGAAAAAAGTATCCTAATTTTTTCAGTGTTTTTGGTTTTTCCATGGGTGAGATTTTAAATTGTTTCAAATTAAATTTGTTTGAACGGGCACGTTCAGAAGGAGCTCAGTAACCTTCTGAATGCGTTGTTGTGTACTTCTGATCAACTCAACAGTTGAGTGTTAGATGATCGTAATATTTTTTTGCTCATTTGAGACAACATGTTGCTTATACCCTCGACAGTTGACTTTGATAGCTAATGTATCAAGCCCGACCACGTACTTTCAAGGAATAAAAACCCGGTAGGTGTATCACCGGCTCCATTTTAACGATATACAAGAGATCACACGACTCATTTAGCCAATGTATGGGAAAGCTTTTCATCCTGTGAAACAGCGAGCATTCCTGGCCCTCCTATAACAGAAAACGCACACCTGCGCTCTTCAGATTCCTTAAAGGACTTTTATTGGCTTACAGGGCACACGACCCAAGGTTGACGCATCGGACCAGGTTGTAGTTGCTAGATCATAGAATATCAAGCGCGGAAGCTATACCATCGGTAAAGCTCATGACATCGAAAGGGATTAGTATTCCATATGATATTACAGGCTACTATACTTGGCCTGCGTATGAGGAGGGTTATGCTGATTAGTCGTTTCCACCTAAACTAGGAATTTTTTACTTTGTTAACCCGTTTTTGCTTTTCCACGGTATTGGCCAACGAAAAAGTTGTTATCAGGCGCCTCAAAGAAAGCAGACATTCGCTAGTGACTACAAAAGGGTATATCGGTAACCGCTTTACCGATTTCCACCAAACTTGGTCCAATTATTTCATAAGTCTGCTATTCCATTTTATCGAAACTATTTGCAATCGTGAAAAACACTTTTGTTTACTATGTAGTTGACAGAAAGGTGGATAAACGATATTTAATACGTGTACCGGGTATGTTTAGTTTGGTTTTGTGCGAACTTATTCTGCTTTACTTGTTTCATTTTTCTTTGATGAAGTATCTAATGTACTAGTAATATAGATTTTTATTATAATGTGAGTGAATCGGTTAATCACCAGAGGAAGTAAATTAGTATTTTTTCGATATGAAAATCTTCATGCAGTTCGGTTCGTTAAAAGGAGCTCTGTTAAACTGCATCAAATTTGCCTTATAGTAAAAATTATGACTTATTCCCTTTTATAATGAACCGATTCAAGTGTTTTTGTGCTGCCAGTAATTGTTGACACATTAATCACGTTTTATTTTAGGCATTTCTTGTATACCTCTTACTTTCTAGTGGCTAAATATTTCAATATTTACTGTAGCAGAGCACTTTAGTAAACTTCGTCATTGGTATAATTATAGGGGCACTAGAGTTTGTGATTATCTTGTTGCTTTTGCCTTAATAAGCACCAATGTACTACATATGTATATTCTTCATTGTGTTGGTGTTTTTGCTATCAAAATGGCATTAAAATTCGTCATACACTAGAATATATGGAAAATTGGGTTTATTGGGTTGAGGTACACTTTCATTTCTTAAGTTAGACAATTTTGTTTGTTAAGTTTAGACAATTTCTGTTTTTTAACCACCCCGTGTATACTACTTATCTTTCCATCGGCATTTTCAATCATAAAATCATAAATAAGTACATAGTAAAAAACTAAAATAAAAAAATGAATTTAGCTTAAAACAATGTAGTTGTTAACCTTTGGTCCCAGAGGGTGGCGAGAGAAAAAATTCGAAAAAAAAAATATAAAGTCTGTTCAAGTAGCTTACAGAAAATAATTATACTAAAAACCTTAAACACAATAATTGTGCTAAAAAAAAATAGATAATAAGAATGGCTTATAATTATATTATTTAAGAGTTACTGGGGTCGCTAAATTCGAATCTGAAGTCAAAATTACGAAAAACAAAATGGCCCATCCAATATGGCGCCTGAAATTAAAAGAACGAAAAATGACACTGAAGATGGCACAACGTCGAAACCGGTTTGTATCCAAACCAAATTTCACAAGGGATGACGGAAAATCGTTCCACAATACATTAAAATAAATGTGCTTATACGAAATTGGTTGAAAAAAATTAGTTTTAAAAAATCCTCTTCAGAAAAACTTTCAATATTACCTATATGGTACAAAATCGCGTCTTAAACAAAAGGTCGGATACGGTCGGATTCAATATTTAGTATTAAATTTTAAATATATATAAAAAAAAATATAGTTTTTATTGGTGAAACATGGAGAAAATTGAACATATTAAAAAATCTTAAAATTGTACCCTATATAATAGAACTCACCTGTAGAAGAAAAACAGAAACAGAAAAAATGCCAGAAGCATATCCCCGTAAATCGTAGTCCTTGTTTTGTTTGCGGGGGTCGTCAACATGTGTGGACTTTGCTTTGCGAGGCTTGTGCGGTTTTGGCTTTTTTACGTGGCAGGTCCCAATCCCAGCGCGCAACCCACCGCCAGGGCAGACAGACAGTAGGCTTGCGGCCCTCAAACCGAATAAGTTGAAGTGACTTCGCCGAAGCTCTCTCTCTTTCTGCATCTAGAACAATTCCGAATTGAATCGATTTATTCTCAAGGCTGCGTATATGCATTAACTCAAATTAAGCGTCAAATGGCCAATCATTCACTCAGTCACGGACTAGCTTCGGACCAAAATGTATGTATGTATGTAGTGCTACACCATTCGATTAACCGCTGGGTAATAATAAACACACAATGCCATTACCAAATAAAGAGTATTTACCAATACGTTCGTTTGTACATTAGTACATTAGTACATGCTAACACATTTCTACATATCGAGCCCTAACCGCCAAAACGAGGTAAGTAAAACTTTTTTTCTAAATTTTTTTTTGATGCAGAAATGTTCCTAGAGCGTCTATATGCATTTCTGCATAAAAAAAAAATTGAATAAAATGTCGCTTACTTCTTTTCGGCGGTTAGGGCTCGATATGTATCTTACGAATGTACCGTATGTATACACACATTACAACACCTTTGCTCTTCAATATTCGATAATTGAGTATTTGTTAATTAAGTATTTGTTTAACGTTCTTGTATATTTACTAGCGTCACCAGCATTCGCTTATCTAATCAATCGCACGGCTGCTCAACGATGGCTTGAATGTTGCGCGATAAGCGGCAGGTAGTGGAATAGATAACACACAAGCACTATTATTATCTATCGATGTCAGAGAAATTTCGGTGAACAAACGCAATTTCGTCTAGTGCCCGCCGTAGAGAAGGTATGTAGTTGTGGTTGAAACTTGTAAACGCAAACTTTTGTTCGCACCGCTATGCAATATTCCGACCGTGATTCCACCGATGTTGCCGCACCTTTACTCGATGGCCACGCCAACGAGCAAACGTCCTCAGTCAAATCCACCGCGCAAGCAACGAACAACGTAATGACTGCATTGAGACGCAAGAAATATCTAGTCATTCTAATAAGTCTTGCAATATGTGCCACTTTTCTGGGCATCGTCCATTTGGTGAGCATTGCACCGGAATTCAATCAGTACAAAATTTTGCGCGCTTACCAAAATCAAATCGATAGCGAGCAAGCGCGTCAAGGGCACTCCTCACGGCCGCGCACCATACTCTTGTGGAACAGTTTCTTTGAGAAAAAAAACTGGGGTTTGGATGAGGACACTGTGGGACCCGATTATTTTCACAATGACTTGAGTTGCCCTGTGTATCGTTGTGATTTAACGAGCAATCGCGATTTTTCGCCCGCCATTGAAATGTACGATGCTGTGCTCTTTCATGCAGCGGAACCCTTTCCGTTGTTACATTCGGTGCCTAGAAGACGATCGCCGCATCAGCAGTATGTGTTTGCTTTGATGGAACCGCCTGGCGAGACAAAACATGTGCTCTCCGATGAGGGTGGCTTCTATAATTTGACAATGAGTTATCGGCTCGATTCGGATATACAATGGTCTTATCAGTCGCTGGAGGATATGGAAACCGGAGAGGTGGTAGCGCCGGCAGTTCATACCAATTGGCGACAAGTACCGGCGGAATGGAATGAAACGAGCGTGTGGCAGCTGTGGAAAGGCAAGACGCGAATGGCGGCTTGGTTCGTATCGCATTGTGCGACGTTGTCGAAGAGAGAGAAGCTGGCAGCAGCATTGCAGGAGTCCATTGATGTTGACATTTATGGCAAATGTGGAAATTATAGGTGAGTAAAATATTTATTTAAGCGTTGCTTTCGAAAAAAATACGCGCCCGTTCTTTCTTAATTCGGGCACTTGAGACAATAATAGCTGGAAGAATGTCATAAACCAACAATTGTTTGCTTATGTCGTTTATGTTAGGTATTATGTTGAGTACACAGATATGGCCAGTCAGCCCTTCTTTTATGCTTTTCGGCAAATATCTGGCGATGGCTATTAATTGTATTGGCCAACGCAATATATTTTTGTCCAGGAATTTCTTGACTTGCTTATGGGCGGCAAAGTGGCAGTCAGCTGAAAAGGAAAATAGAAAAATAAAATATTTTCGCTACTGGCTAAGTTGACGTGTTGAGTAATCATCGAAGATTTCTTACGTAAGTTAAGTAAAGTCTAGACTAAGTGAGCCTTAAGACTTCACTTTTTTCCAAATTGCCCAGCCTATATCTATAACTAGAAAACAGCCACTCTTTGACCAATGTAAGGCAACAAATTAAGGCCTTTTTATCACCCCTCACATTTCAGCGAGAGAGGACTGGGAGGGGTGCAGTATCTGAAATCGGAGTACTGTAAACTGATTTACAGATGGATCGAAGCTAAATGGGTAGGTGGGTGGCGTTGTCTTCTGCGAAGAACTCTCCATCAACTTGAAATTCAGGCTACCGGATCACTGCAGCGTCTTTCAAGCAGAGGTGGACGCGATAAAAGAGGCTTCGGATTGGTTGCTCTCTAGTGTAACACCTTTTAAGGAGGTGAATATTTATTCCGACAACCAAGCAGCTATCAGGGCTCTTGGCTCCCTGACGGTGCATTTGAGAACGCTAAGGGACTGTCTGACTTCCTTATCGACCGCATCTGATTACTTCGCTATTAAGCTTATTTGGTTTCCAGCTCACAGAAAAATCGCTAGTAACTGCATGGCTGATGAGCTGGCAAGACAGTGAGCCCTCGAGGAATTACTTCCGGATAGGGACGGTCTGGGGGCTCCCCTGCCCTTGTGTGATTTGCTTCTGGACAGATGGGCATGTTTAGTCAGCTCAACGAGCGCTGGGCGAAGACCTTGGAATGCAAGGTGGCACAATCCTTCCGGCTATAGGTAGACCGGAAGCGGTCTGGGGAGCTCTTGAGACTAAGCGAGCTGCACCTCTCGCTATTGGTGGGAGTGCTTATGGGTTACTGCGTAATAGGTAATCATGCCGTAAGGATGATGCGATGGAATAATCTCAACACCTGCTGCTCCTGTGCCCTGCCTTTGCGAGCCTTAGGTTGAAGCACCTTGGGTTGCACTTCTTTTGCACTCCCGATGAGCTTTCGGGAATGGACATCAGTCGATTGAAGGGCTTCGTTGCGAGCACGAAGCGGTTCTCCTGCAAAATTCCACAGGTGTCATCATTCTCCCTTCGCCAGTCGCTTCCTGTTCCGACGAAGGTAGTTATTTAGGTGTTCCTCGCTTCGTACTCAATCTAGCTGGGGTGCAACTTAGTAAGAGCGAGGCTCAATAGACCCTTAAGAGTACTAAGACTACATGATTGATACCTTGCAACCTTGCATCTCATTTTATCCAGCTTCTTATTCCACCAAGGCACATAACTTTTGGACTTCACGACTTCTGGTGGACAACTTTTATTGAAAGCTGCTACAATATTACGAGCCCTAACCGCCAAAAAGACCTAATGTTCTTAGAGCATCCAGAATCATTTCTGCATCAAAAATAAAATGTTGAAAAAAAGTCGCTTACATCTTTTTGGTGGTAGGGGCTGTATATGACTGAAACTGTTGAGTTGATGTCCAGAAAAGAAAGCAATGTCGAAGTCTATATGCATATGGTTCGACATTTGCACATATTTTGACTGCTATGTAAGCATTAGATCCAAGACTTTCCCTGTTAGAGCATTTTTAAAAGTCAGTTTACTGCTCTGTGTGCTCTCTCCGTTCTGCTGTCGGGCTCATCTCCTCCTGACATGGAAAGTGCGCGAAGGTGAGTTTTGCTACTTGTACTGATGTTCGAGTAAAAATTTTTGCCCAAACCACAAACAGAATCGCAGGCATGCATTGCACAAGAGGAAGAAAAGAGTTTACGCCTTTTCTTTCCCTCTTCATATACAGGGTTGCTGGACGAAGGCTACACCAAGGCCTTTTTAGTGAAACTTGTGCACATAAGTTCTGTCGCTGCTTTGGAGTTGGGAAGATTCATTTGGAGGCATTCCACACGTCTATATACATGATCGACCTTATCGTAGGAAAGCTGAACTTAGACGACCACTTGAAGTTTTTGGATACAAAAGTACAAAGTATAACTCATTTACTATACTATCACATAGGAATATGTACATTAAGTAATTGGGTAGGATATTACCATAAAAGTATCGAAATTTGTCAAAAGCTACATACACATGAACGTATGTATGTACATACATATGTACATATGTACTATATAGCAGCTATCCTTAACATCTTTTCTATCAGGGACCGAAAATAACTGGTAAATATCACGATTTTTATTGAAGTGAAACTTCTTTAGCGGCGGTTAGTTGGTTCGGAGTAAATTGGCAAATTCAACGGAAATTGCTCACGCAATGGAAACTGCACACGGAAATGGTAGGGGCTGAAACAATCGATTTTGCTATCGAAATTTTTATCGAATTTGTTATCGATTTGTTTTATCGATTTTGTGATCGATTATTTATCGAATTTGTTATCGATCTTGTTATCGATAATTTATATATCTTGTTATCGCTTATATATCTATTTTGTTATCGATTTTGTGATCGATATTTTTATCCATTTGGTTATCGATATTTTTTATCGATTTACTAATCGATTTTTGTTATCGAGCTTGTTATCGATATTTTTATCGATTTTCTTATCGATTTTGCTACCAATATTATGATCGATTTTGCTATCGAAATTTTTATGGAATTTGTCATCGATTTCTTATCGATATTTTTGTCGGTTTTGTTATCGATATTTTGTTGGATGTTTCTATCGATTTTGCTATCGAAAACTAAAAATGAAGTTAAAGGAAAACAGAATAACATAAATGTAATTAGAACGAACAGGGTAGAGGTAGGGATCTAGAAAGAAAAAAAAAACAAAAAATATAACCTTAAGCAAAAGCAGATGTATGCATGTATGTATGTATATTGGTTATGAGACAAAATAGATATGAAACGTAAGTTTTACTTCTCCAATGTGGCTCAGGCCCACTTACTTTTTTTAGAAGATTTTTATTTTTTGATCATTGCAAAATCGTTATTTTGTGATTTTTATTTTTTTTCGATAAATTTTAACCGTTATAATGGATGCTGCTGCGCTTTTGACCGATTTGAATCTTGTATGCTCTAAAAAATTAAATCTGAAAATGACGGTTATAATATGATCAAAAAAATGAGAATAAAAAATATCGATAAAAATTGATCGAAAGAATAAAAATCATATAATTAAAATTGGAAAAACATAAATCCATTTTAGGGTTAAATTATGATTTTTATTTATTACAAAGATCATAACGGTCCCTGGTTCATACAAGTTATATTAATGATCAACAATTGGTTGGTTTGTTGATCGGTTTAATCGTTACAATCTAAACAAATTTATTTTTATAAAATGTAAACAAATGTTTTCTTGTTTCCAGTTGTCCCCGCTCCTCAAACGAATGCGATGAACTTTTGGATCAACGCTACAAGTTTTATTTCTCCTTCGAAAATTCACTGTGCAATGATTATGTGACCGAGAAACTGTACAATGCAATGAAACGTAATGTGATACCTGTGGTATTTGGTGGTGCCGATTACACACGGTTTGTGCCGCCACATTCCGTTATAGATGCTGAGGATTTCCAGAGTGCAGCAGAGCTGGCGTCACACCTTCAATATTTGGCTACGCATCCGGCGGAATATATGCGTTATTTTTGGTGGCGTCGTTACTATCGCCTTACCGTCCGTTCGCCTTTTTGTGATCTCTGCGAAAAATTGCGCAGTGTAACTTATGCGCAAAAAACGCAAACATATTTGGATATAGAAAAATGGTGGATGGCGGATCAGTGCCGCTTTGAGTCTAAAATTAAATTTTAAGTTTTTTTTTATGCTAAAACAAATAGACGAAATAAGTAAGTGAATTATCTATGTATGAATGTATGTAGCTTTAAAATGAAATCTTTCAAATGAAGAGTTTCGTTTTGTAGACTGTTATTGGTATAAATATACATACATACATGTATATTTGTATGTGAGGAGGGAAGACATGTACATATACATATGTATGTATGTATGTATGGGTGTGACTTTGTGCTGTTGAGGCTTTAGTGTTTAGATGAATTATTGGAAGAAATTATCATAGCGATAACTGGTTGATTAAGTGCCTTACTATGTAATTACTAAACAATGAATGTAAGTTATATTTTTACTAAGAGTATTTATGAACATACTATATAAAAATCTGTTGTTATCTACACATCATTCGAAAAAATGTTAATAAAAACTGTTGTGCTTAAATGCTAACTTTACAAGTATTTTAACTCCGAACAAATTCGAAGGAAAAAACATTTTTAGCTTTTTACAAATTTAAATAAAATATGAACTTACTGTAGCTCCCGTTTACTGAATTATTTCAAAATGCCCCGAACACACCACTAAGAGACCTAAAAATATCGACGTGAAATGCCTAAAGTACGTCGGAAAAAAATTAATTCCTTTAATCTGTATAAGAGTCTTAAAATAAAGAAGAAATGCTTAGTAAAAATCAGGAGCCAGAGTTTTTGAACGAGATCCACATCTATGCTGTTGTCCGTGATGAATTTTACGATGTCGAGTGCCATAGCATGCAACTGCCTGTCCTTGTATTGCAAGGGGCCAAGATAACCACTAAGGTCCAAGACCGCTTATAAGTGATAAAGCCCATGAACTACTTCTTGCCGCAACCAACGACATTGATACCCTTATGCCATCCAGCTGCGTCAAACCCCAATTCCTTTCTGTCGATATCGAGTACTAATTTTATAAACACAGCCTACGAAATTAGCCATATATTTTTTTTTATCGATAATGGGCACCTGTAGATTCATTAGGAAGACGAAGGATCCCGTGGGTTTCGATTTTTTCGACTCCCTTGTCGGACCTATCTCTTTTATATACTCCTCACTGGGTACTTGCGGCCTTGACATTCTTTTGTGATTTCCAGAGGCGCTACGTATTTCTTGATTAAATCACTGACCTGTTTAGTGAGAGACTATTGATCTCTCCATCCCAATTATTGTAAGGAACGGATCCGATCTCTACCCCATTTTTGGTCCACATCAAGACCGTATTTAGCGGGGGGGGGGGGGGGGGTAGGTGTACTAACTGCGTATCCGACTACCTGCACAGCTGTTTTTGCTGTTGTAGCGGCACTACTAAGCCCCGCCTAGATCTGTTGGTCCATAAATCGTTGTCGTCAAGCTCAATTAACGGTAGGCCCAAGAAACGAGCTGTTTGACGGGGTCGGGCCAGAGGAAGAGGGATGTTAGCTGTATGGGATTGAGCTGGCATGTGAAAAGGTGCTTGGTGTGATGGGTTGAGTTCCCGCATGCCGGACACTGGTTGGGTTTAATGAAGTCGAGTCTGGACAAGTAGCCCTTGATGCGGGTACAATATCCTGCCTGTCGAAACTTTGTGTCTGCGAAAGCCATTTCTGCGCACCGGTATGACTTGGATTTCTCCCGATCAAGGGAGTTGTTTCGGCGACCTAATCCCGTTTAGATCGGCGAATCCTATCAACTTACCTGCAAAGTAATCTTTTATGCTTCAATAACCTCCATAAAGAGATTTATTTTATGTCGTCCATCTTCGCTCGAAAAAGCTCAAAGCTCGAGCTCAACTGATCTTAGTTACGCGCCTTTATTTGGTAAACGTTATATGAAAAACTCAACTAGAAAAAAATATTTCTTGAGTTCTAGTTACTGCTCTGAAAGTAAAACTTAATTTTTGAGCTTTTCTTGCTTGGAAAATATGAGTAAAAGATAAAATAAAATTTTTTGCTTGGAAAATGAAAGTTTTTATTCTGAAAAAACTGAAATTAATTTTTTGTCATCACTTGTCTAGTTTGGCTTGGAAGTAAACAGTAGGAGAAACCAACCAACACAAAAAAAATGGTTTTGTTTTATGAGCAATAAGTAAAATTCAACGCATATATAACTACAAAAAAGAATTTTTTAAATAAAACATAATCGTTATAGTAAAATTTTTTTCTGTGTAGCTGAAAAAATACCGGAAAATATAGAAATGCAACTCAATTTTTTGACATTTGGTCCTTTACCACACGTCAACCATTGAGAGTAGCAAATTTGAGAATCATAAATATTTCCGCAAAAAAAATTTTGTGTCTGCGCACTGGAACACGCTAATATTTACATAAGCTGTTAGCTGACAAATGCAACAAACGACAATTATTTGAAATTTACCAATTCACCACATTGAAAGCACAGTTTTTAATTAGCACGTTTTTACACACAGAATGAATTTATACTTAAATCTGTATAAGAAAAAAACTTCTCCGAAGAATTATCCTTGCACTTGGAAAAAGTAAAAGTCCCCTTTCAAGTATTCATTGCTTAGATAACAGTTGACTAAAACTTCCTTTAAGCTTGCTGCTAAGCTTTCATCGGTTAGCACACTATAAGCTCGCTGGGACGGCTTGCCAAAAGCACACGGTCGTGCGTATGAATTTTTGCAATTTTTCTCGTCATTCAGTCAAAGTTTTTCCGATATTACGTGCACTTCGACAACCACGACCGAGACTTGCCTCGTAAGGCAGTGTGTGAAAAAGTGTAAAAATAATTCTCATTTTAATCTAAAACAAAATTGAACGATTTTAATAAGATTCGCATGTAAATAACTTTATCAGTAAGCGTTGAGAGACGTAAGTTGTTGAACAAGTTCCTTCAAAGCTACATACATAAAAAGAAAAATACTTTGAAGATGATTGTGTGGAGGAATAAATTTTTTTCATGATTTTCTATTTTTCACACACAGACCCACAGAATTTCTATTTCCTGGTTGTTTAAGTTAAATGTTTTATGTTTTCTTATTTTAAATCAATTTATTGATTTTCATTTTTGTGAAATATCAATTTTTCATTTCGAAAATCTTTCTCGAGTATGAGAAAAAATTTTCCTTACACATCCCTACGCAGCAATAGCAGTGTGTATGTGTGTGCGTGTGAGTGTGTGAAAATCGATTTTTCCCCTCAGCCGTGGGCTGTAGTTAGCAGTAAATCCCGAGTACCTATAGATTTTCATGTACCCTTCCGCAGTCGAGTATCACTTTTGCCCGATGCTTTCCCCAACACCTTTCTCGCCTATCTGGTTACATATTTAATTTCTGTATATTTTGTATTCTTCCTGCAATACTACTTAAATAAGTATGTATTGCTGGATGTGCTACTGTCAATGGCTAATGCTAGTGGTGAATACATTGCTTGTGGTCTAATTATTTGTCAGTGAACGGTGGTGAATTGGACTGAATTGGCGAAAGTGCAGAGCTTTACCATGACCGTGGAAAAATGTTGGTGTTGGTGTTTGTAGGCTAACGGGTTTGAAAGCAAAACGTGAAAAATAAAATTCCTGCAGAAAAGAAGTTGGAAGACGTCAAAATTTTTGTAAATTATTTGGGAGAGAAATAAGTGAAATGGACAAGTGTGTTTGAGGTCAACGGCAATGGTGAGTCACATAAAATCATTATAACGGTATTCAAACCCCTTTTAAGACAATCCCTAGAAAAAAAATTTAAATCCCATGAATATAACCGCAAGCTTGTACATATGTACATACATACATAAGTGCTTATCTATTTAAGTAGATACATACATTTGTAAATATATCGTTGTTCACGTATTTTTTTTTTAGCTAAAAGTATACATATTTTATGTATGTGTTCGTAGTTGTATATCCATATATAAACGTTTAAATAAATAATATATTATACATACATACATATGTATAATGTGATTGAAAAGACATTCAATGCTTTTAAATGCTTGAAGAAATTGTAATGCAAAGGCGGTTTATGAAAGGCTAAGGTCAATTTTAGTTCAAGGTGAGCTTACAATTGTTTTTATTATTCTTTGGTTCTATCTTTTTATATATGTTTATATATTTACATGCACATGCATATACTCGTGCATACGAGTATGTTAAATTTTTGTTACATTCGTTTTCCCTGCAGCGAGATTCAATTGCTTTTATTGAACATTCAATGCACTTGGTCAAAGGACATACATACATATGTATATATCGTTTGAATGTAAAGAAGTTATGTAAACCCAAAATGGAATACATGTATGTGTCTATGTTTTTTTGTTTTTTAATTAATAAAGAAAGTACTTTCAGAGCTCCTCTAAACATGCCAATAAATGTCGTATTTATTAAGATATGGCTTACTTAAATCCTATCTGCAGCTCGCCAGAAAAAATAAAAATTTATATAAAATGATGCACAAGAAGTAGAAAACTCAAAAAATTCGGATTTTTCGAAACTAGTAACCGGTACAACATTTTTTAAAATTTTCGAAATAACCACAATAATATAAATAAGCGCGATCACGCTGCTTTTCTAAAAATTGAGAACCGGTCATAAAAACCCAGGGTTTTCGAAACTGGTAGCCGAAAGAAAATTTACAGCAACCGCAAAGTAATTTTCCCAGCAACAGAAATGGCGAAACATATTTATTTTGAAAATTTGGAAACAGAAAACTAAGGACTTTCCTAAAAAGCGTCATAAATGGCCATTGCTGTCGGTATGTGCATACATACATACATAAGTATCTCAATCATACAGGGCCACTGAGTTGAATAATTAATTGTTGATATAATTAATTATAGATACTAACAACGCAATGGCTATATTACAAGTAGTTTTTAAGCAAAAAACAAAACCGACTTCAATTCTCATAATATATATAATATATATATATATATATATATATATATATATTTCATGATCCAATGATCAGATCTAAATCTGATTAGTATGGGGCCAGCCCTGAGACACTACCTTTCCGATGCAAAAAGGATTATCGAAATATGTTGACGTGGTGCAAAGTTATGCGGTAACATAAAAAAATATTCCGAGGAACTGATTACTTCCTCCTTTTTTGGAAGTCAGTTAAAAATGAGCCATTATTTGCATGCATTTACTTAATGTTTTCAACAGCTTTTTTTATTTATTTAAATACTGTAGTCCCCTAAGGCAGGGCACTCACAGAGGATGTGTTAAACTGAAGGGGCCTGCTCACATCCCGGCCGCATCTACACCCTTGTCTACCTCCTATCAATCTTTGTAAACATATACCAAGTCAGCCCTCTTCATGTATTGACGCTAGCCTTCGACGTGTATAGTGGCTCCGAAGTGAAGCATGGTGGCGGTATTGACCACTATATTCTTGACCAACTGG